ATAGAAGCCACCTAGCCTTAGAGTGTGCGTGGGAACAGGAGACACGGGGAGCGAATAACTAAACACGTAACAGAACCTCAGGCAGCAGTAAGTGCCAGGAAGAGAAATACACCCGCAGGAGGACACAGCAGCTCTCTGATAAGGTGGCGACTGAATGAATGAGGTGAGGGAGCAAACGCCATGGGGACACCTGGAAGGAGGGCAGCCCCAGGCTGAGGGCCCAGCAAAGGCCCTTAACTGCAGACATGCCTGACGGGTGCGAGGGGCAGCAGGAAGTTGGGGCTGGAGCGGAGCGAGCAAGGCCTGGGGTGATGGAGCCTGCGGTCAGGGAGGAGCCAGGCCAGGCCTTCCTGTTGAGGGTGTAGATTTCACTCTAAGTGACATGACCGCCTTTGACTGAGTGACCGAGGCTCACGTTTTGGACCACAGTATGGAGAACGGGCTATGAGGTGTCCGACTCACAGAGAAGGGGGTCCCTGCTGCCTTTTGCCCACACCTGCCAGCCCAAAGGACCTGGCTCCTCGCTCAAGCCCAGCCCTGCAGCAGGTACCAGGAGGAGGGAAATGGGGGCCGCAGGGCCCCCGCCCACTTCCATCACCCACTCAGCAAAAGTCCTGCAAGACCCCACTCGATTTCCCAGGTGAGTCGTGCATGTCAGCCCCTGATTGGGCTCTGTGCTGCCCTGTAATTGAGTCACTCATCCAGGAACCTTTAAAGGGGGCCTGCTTTCTGCCAGGCTGTGTAGTAGACACAGGGACAGGAAGAAAGGTCACTGCTTTCAAGGAGCTCACATTCTTGGAGGGGTGTGGGGGAACTCAGGAAGGCTGCCCAGAGGGGCAGGGCTCAAGCTGAGCAGGCTGACTCCCCGTGACCCTGGGCAGCAGTGACACAGCTGGAATCACTGATCCATGCCAAGCTGGAACCAATCCACGGCATACTAACTCCATGCCCTGTCCTCTGTCACCCTGCAATGCAGGGAGGGGACAGGAACGGCCCAGGCTCTTCCTACTTAGAGTCAGCCCCTAGGAAGGAGCAGGGGCTTTGGCCTGGGAGCTCGTTGAAGACTGACCAGGTGGTCTCACTCACGGCTGTACTGCCATCCGAGTGAGGGGGGGACCCAGATGTGAACCGAGAGACCAGACCACACCCAACAGAAGGGTCCAAATATCCTTCCGCCTCCGGCCTGAGATGGCCAGAGCACTGCCAGTCCCCGCTGCTTCTTGGAACCATGCTGCAGGAGCCTCTTCTATCTGCAGCAGACATGCCAGGGCCTGCTGGCAGCACCCCTTCCGGAAGCTCCAGGAGCCAGTTCCCCAGAGGGGAGCCCTCACCTGAGCCCACGATGGCACCCTCTGTCCCCACACAGCAGCACTGAGTATTCTGGCTTAAATAATCATAACATCTTTGAGCAGAAGATACCCTTTCATTTCAACGACCCCATTTTACAAAAGAATAAATGGGATCAGAAAGGCTAACTCCCACCTAAGGCCTCCAGCTCCTAAGTGGTGGCGCTGAAATTTCAGTTCCCTCCGACTCCAGAGTCCACATGCTCACCCTCTCAGAAGACCACCTTCCTGGCTTTCACAGGCCCTCCAGAGGCCTTCTCAGGGCTGCTCTGGGTACTGTCAGTCCTGGGAGTCTGGCCTCCTGCAAAGTCTACGGCTGATTCGTGGTGAAGTATGGCAGACACAACACACTATTGTAAAGCAATTAACCTCCAATTAAAAACAAATTTTAAAAAAGAAAGCTTGGGCGTTTGGGGTGTTTTTTCTTAATCAAGTGGAAAAGCCGCCTTTGTCAAATGAAAGTAGGCCTTATAAAAGCAGAGTGGCTCCTACACCACCATAACCGATGCTGGGGCTCCTACACTTCCCTGCGGGCTGGCTCAGCTGACCCTGGGTGATCCTCTGCTAAGTCGCAGGTCCCACCACCCAGCAGCCCTGCTTCCTGCAGCTCATGCGCCTTGATGCCTCCACATTCCAGCTTAAGGGCATCGACCTCGGAGGCAGTGGGGCCTTCTCATCTTTGCTCGGCTGGTGAAGGAACTCAGCCCAGAGCCAGCCAGACATGATTGCCCCAGGCACTGGAGGCTGTTCAGTGACAGAGCTGCCACTGGAACCCAGGGCTCCTGTCTCCTGACTACTGGCCAGACCGAGGTGACCAGGACTAAAGGCAGGAAGGTGTGGGACTGACACAATAACCCCAGGTGGGCAGGACGGCGCTTGCCCAGTTCCTGGCCAGCCAGGCGTCCACCACACTACCTACGCCACTAGCCCTTGGCCCACATACTTCTCCCTCCAGAGCGGAACCCAAAGCTATGAAAGTCTCGCGTTCCTGAAACGGCCACCCTCGGGGACCCCGGTGCTCTGGGAGAGTTTCAGGGAGCCATGGGGAGACCCTCCTGCAGAATGGTGTAGAAGCCTGGTTCATCTGTGGAGATTTCACCAAAGACTGCTCACTGCTGTAAAGTCGGCCAAGAGCTCTGGGGCGGGCGTCCACACAAAGGGAGACCAGCATCTTACACCTGCCTAAGGGGTCTAGCGCCTCAGGATGCTGATGAATCTGAGATTCTGAGTGTTTCAGAGACTCCAATCTGAGATTCCGAGGGTCTGTGGGGATTCCAGGCATTTATGGGGATTGTTTATACTAGGTGTTTGCTGGAATTCCCAGACTGTATTCTAACTGTGTATGAATGCAAGTCTCAGAAGACACCATTCTTTCAGCTGGACGGAGCCCTGAGAAGGAGGGAGCAGGTTCTCCAACATCCTGGGCCGCCTGGCCTGCCAGCCCCTCCCCCACAGGCAGGACAGGCTAATGCAGCCCCGTCCTCCTGCTCGACTGGCCACATAAATCACCCTCCCAATAATATTTGTATTGATTATCTAGATTGGAAGCTTCAATTGGCTCCATTGTCTCACTTCCTCTCTCAGGGCTCACAGATGGGGTCCCAGCCCCTCATCTGCGTTACTAATGCGACATTTAAATGGAGTGGTCTCAGCGGCCAGCAAGGCCCCCTGCTGCCCGGGTGCTGGGAGACCAAGGAGTGACAAACAGATTCCTTGACAGAGAATCATTAAGTCTAGACTTTGTGGGGCTGGAGGTGAATCAGGACGGGCACATCCCTGCATACGCCAGGTGTGGTCCCCCAGCACCGCCAGGCCACTTGTCAGAAACCCAGAGTTCAGGCCAGACCCTGCACATCAACACGAGCCTTTCAACAAGACCCCCTCAGTGATCTGGGTGCAAACGCATGTTTAAGAGGCACTGCTCGAGTCCATCCCTGGTAATGCACAGAAGGGAGACTGCTGAGCCCCAGAGATGCTCAGGCCACACCAGGTGAGACCACTGAGCCTCCAGTTCAGGCGGAGGAAACGAGAGGGCAAGTTGCTTCTGGAGAGAGGGGCCGGCCATTGCCTACCTCCTCTCCCTCCCCAGCTCTGGACCCCGATCTCAGAGCCTGGACAGATGGCTCAGGCCAGAGTCTGACCCCTCTGTACGCTCCCAGCCTGGAGGGGCCAGAGAGAACTCTCAGGACTCCCCAGGAGGGCACCTCCCTCCCACCCCAGCCAGCCAGCTGCCCCTTCCCTGGCAGCAACGGGACGGCAGATCCCAGGGAAAACCCGCACCTGGGTCTGCCCAGCACAGCCAGGCGTCCACAGCGGGGGCAGAGAGCCGAGGCCACAGAGAGACGGCCAGCAGAGGGTCTGGGAGAGGTGGGGAGGAGGGAGAAGACCCCAGTCAGAGGGAGGGAAGCAGGGATAGAGCCTGAGATGGTGGGGATGGGGGAGACAGAGTGATGGACAGGAGCAACCAGGAGGAGGGGGTGGACTCAAGAGACAGAGATGCCAGATGAAAGGAGGAGCAGCCAGACCGAGAAAGGGAGCAGGGGGAAGAGGGAGGAGGGAAATGGAGGCAGTAACGAGCGATGGGGCAGGAGAGGGAGGGGGCAGCTGGCCTGGAGGAGCAGGAGCCCAGCATGGCCCAGCCCGGCCGGCCGGCCCAGCCCCCAGTGACAGCGCAGCTGCCACACTCGGGCCCACCACGAGGTCAGTCCTGCCCCGGGGCACAGGGAGAATAAATGGTGTCCAAGATAAAGAGATCCAAGAAATTATTTGTCTTGTTGTCATGTCTGCAATGGGCAGGGACCAGCAGGCAGGCAGAGCCTCGTCTCAGAACGGCCCAGGCTGGCAGGCGCAGCCGCCCACAGCCCCCGGGCCCCGCGGCTGGGACCTGGGACACCTTCCAGAAGCCGGGCCTGGGACGGTAGGAAGCGGTGAGGATACAGTCAGCACTTGCTCAGGGGCTGGGCGGGAGGAGTCTCGGGTGCCTCCCGCACAGCTGAGGATCTCTGCGGGCTAGGGGCCTGTGGACGGAAGGGGGCAGCCTGGGGCCCACGACGGCTTCTGAACACCTCAGGGAAGCTGGAACGCTCCAGGGTCAAGGGTAGGTCAAGGGCAGCCCCAGGTGGTGTGAGCACCCATGCTTCATAAGAGAGCAAACTTCAGCCCACAGAGCACACACGCACACGCCTCTCTGTGCAAATTCGTGCACTCTCACACACATATGCACACATGCGCACACACTCATACCAGGCCAATTTCCACCACCACCACAAACCTCCAAAGAACATTCCCCAGAGGCTCCCCCCAACCCCCACCCAAGCATCTGAACCGTGGACAGTGAAACGACGCTCGGGAAGCAGCAGCAACCTGCTAGAGGCCAGCCCCAGGCAAGCGGCGATTACCCATGGCAGCTAGTATCTATGGGCACTGACCAGCAAGAGTAGGCTTCACTCATGTCTTCAGTCACCACTCCCGACAAGGCTCTCAGGGACGTGCTTCTGCATCCCCATTTCACAGATGAGGAAACTGAGGCCCAGAAAGACTCAGCACTGGGTGCAAGATCACACACCAGGATGCGGGAGAGCTGGGATCTGCACCTGGGGTCTCGGTGGCCAGGAAGGACGTGTGCACAGTGGGCAGGAAGGGGCCGACACCTACCATACTTGTCCCCGTCCTCGCCGCGGGCGCTGATCCTGCGACCCAGGACCTGGATGTGCTTCCCGCTGGTCCGGCTGTAGAGCTGGTACAGCCGCAGCTGCTTACGGCTCACATCGTCCCGAGCCCGCGTCTGGTTCTCCACGTGGATGCGGAAGTCCACGTTCTCCTCGGCCGCCAGCACCTGGGCAGGGAAAGGGGTGACAGTGAGCCACCCTGGAAGCCCAGACACCCTGCGGCAGGAACCACATTCACAACAGAGAGCCAGAGCCTCCTTGATGCCAGCTCTGGGCCAAGCATCAGCACATCTCATAACCGCCCTGTCTGTCGTCGCCCCGTCGCTCCGTCGTGTCTAACTCACAGTGGCCCCAAGGACTGTAGCTCACCAGGCCCCTCTGTCCGTGGGATTTCCCAGGCAGGAATACTGGAGTGGGCTGCCGTTTCCTTCTGCGGAGGATCTTCCCAACCCAGGGAATCAAACCTGTGTCTCCTACACTGGCAGGCGGATTCTTTACCACTGAGCCACCAGGGAAGCTCTATCGCCCTGTTATCTCCCATTTCACAAATGGGGCAACTGAGGCTCAGAGAGCTGAGGCAAGTCGTCCAAGATGGCCCAGCCAGGAAGTTGCAAAGCTAAGGATCCGGTCTAGGGCTATTTGAAAACACACTTGTTTGACAGCAAACAAAGTTTGCTTTCTTTCTGCCATAGCCCCAAATTAAAATAAGAAATATGGGCCAGAGTTGCCCATGTGACCTTGAGAACACAGTTTGTTCTGCCTTAGATTTCTCCCCAGTAAAAGAGTGGAGCAGAGTCCCCATCCTGAACACAGCCCAGGATGGCTGTCAGGGTAAAGTGAGCCAATGGGAAGAAAAGTACCAAAATCACCACGGAGATGGGACAGGGCCTGGGGGCACATCATTGCTGTTTAGGTCCTCAGTGGGAAAGGAGGGGGACCTGGCAAGTTGCTTCCTAGGAATGAATGGACCACATCCCATTGCCACTTCTCCCCCAGGAGCTGGTGCTGGAGGGGTTCTCCTCTTCACACTGTAATGGTCCTTATGCTGCCCTATCACCAAGCATTTGCCCACAGCCCCAACCCCTTGTAGAGAACCTTTTGCTTAGCACCTCCCATCAAATTTCCTATACCCTAGAAGTTTAGGGCTCCCCTGTTAGCTCAGATGATAAAGAATCTGCCTGCAATGCAGGAGACCCCAGTTTGATCTTTGGGTCGGGAAGATCCCCAGGAGAAGGGAATGGCAACCCACTCCAGTATTCTTGCCTGGAGAATTCCATGGACAGACCATGGGCTCACAGAGTCAGACATGACTGAGTGACTAACACTTTGCAGAGATATCCTATACATACACACACAGGAAAAAAATCCATCCACTTTTATAAGCTTCCCTGGTGGCTCAGTGGTAAAGAATCCTCCTGCCAATGCAGGAGACATGGGTCGGGAAGATCCCCTGGAGGAGAAAATGGCAACCCACTCCAGTATTCGTGCCTGGAAAATACTATGGACAGAAGAGCCCGGTGGGCTACAGTCCATGGGGTGGCAAATAGTCAGACACGATTTAGCAACTAAACAACAGCTAGAAGTTTAGTTCATGTCTGACCACACTCTCCAGGAATCCTCCTCTGGCTAAGCCAACAGCATCTCTCCAGTCTTCCTTTGCTGAACATGGTCCAGGTGAGACCCAAACGACTCGCACCCACCTCCTCAGCAGCTTTCCGCTTCTTCTCCCACCTGGAAGTCCATCTCCCACCAAAGCCAGGCACCTTGTGTAATCCTCTCCTGAACTCTCCAGGGCTTCCCATCAAGTTTAGATTTTTTTTTTTTTTGGACCATCTTTTAAAAGCCTTTCATTGAATTTGTTACAATATTGCTTCCGTTTTATGTTTTGATTTTTTGGCTATGAGGCATAGGGGATCTTAGCTCCCTAACAAGGGATGGAACCTTCACCCTCTGCCTTGGAAGGCAAAGCCTTAACCACAGGGCTGCCAGGGAAGTCCCTTCCCATCAAATTTTTATAAAGGTCCCCATCGTGGCCTCAAAGCCTTGCAAGAGGAGCCCCTGACCGCTTTTCCACCTCCATCTCCTACCACTTCTTCCCCCCAGTTTCACTGGCTGCCTTAGCATGCCTCTGAGCATTCCAAACAGAAAACCCAATGGGTGTCTCGGGGCCTTTGCACTTGCTCTGCCCTCTGTTTCACTGCTCTTTCCCAGATTTTTGCCCTCTGGTTCCTCTGACTCACTGGAGTCTCTGCTCAAATGGCACATCCTGAGACAGGACTTCCCTGACCGCTTCTCTGGGGTAGCCCCCACTTTTGTCACTGTTCATCTCTCTACCATGCTTTGAGTTTCTTTCTAGTATTCATCAACCTGACATAACATCTACTTCTCTGGTTTTTGTCTGTCTCCCTGACTTGTTTGCCACCATATCCCCAGCACTCAGCATAGTAGAAATTCAAACATTTGTCAAATGAATGAATGAATGAACAAGTTAACATTGAAAAGATCTGGGTCCTGTCATCCCATGTAACATTAAATGAGGTTTCCCTGCATGCATGCTAAGTCACTTCAGTCATGTCCAACTCTTTGTGACCCTATGAACTATAGCCCACCAGGCTCCCCTGTCCATGGGATTCTCCCGGGAAGAATACTAGAGTGGGTTGCCATGCCCTTCTCCAGGGATTTTCCCAACCCAGGGGTCAAACTCACAGTCTTTTACATCTGCATTGACAAGCAGGGTTTTTTTTTTACCACTAGCACCACTAGATTTCCCTGTGCCCTGATAATCATATGCCTGTCCCAGCCCATTTAACCAGAAAGCTGAGTAATTCTTGAAGTCCAGACAGCATTCCAAGTTTGTTCTAGGCATGCTAGGCTTTCAGGACCCCATTCCTATGTGAGCAAGACCCCATTCAGCCCATGGAAGAGCTCTTGGAATCAGGACTGCCTGAGCATGTGTCTCACCCTTCAGCTGTGGAGCTCCTCAGGGCAGGAACTGTTTTCCTTATTTCTACACCCCATGTCCAGGCTTCCCAGGTGTCTCAGGTAGTAAAGAATTTGTCTGCAATGCAGGAGACCTGGGTTCAATCCCTGAGTCAGGAAGATCCCCTGGAGAAGGGAATGGCTACCCACTCCAGTATTCTTGCCTGGAGAATCCCATGGACAGAGGAGTTTTGTAGGCTACAGTCCATGGGGTCGCAAAGAGTCAGACACGACTGAGTGACTAACACTTCCTTGCTTATGCCCAAGCCAAGGTCTCTGTGCCCTGGCTGACCTGTACGCATCCTCCCACCCCAGCCTGAGCCTCTCAGGCACTTCAGCTGGACCACGTTATTTAACCTTCACTATCACCCTCATGGTGGAAACATTATCCCATGTGACACTTGAGGAAACTGAGGCTCTGAAGCTGAACCGACATGGTCACAGATCAGGCCGTGGCAGAGTTAGCCCCAAGCTGTGTGGTCTCCAAAGTGCTGCTTTCAGCTCCACCTCACTGGGCCCCGCCTGCCCCACCAATGCAGACGGGAGCAGACCGAGGTTCAAAACCCAGGGCCAGTCTCTCATGAGCTAAGGGTCCCCAGGCAAGTTCCTGAGAGGTGACAATGATACCCACCTCATGGGCTGCTATGAATATTGTACACAGTCTTAGAACAGTTGCTTGGCACAGAATCAAGGGCTCAGCAGGCATAGATAATTACCAAGTGGGGCCTCCCTGGTGGTGGAGTGGCTGAGACTCCACGCTCTGAATACAGGAGGCCTAAGTTCGATCCCTGGTCAGGGAACTAGGCCCCACAAGCCGTGACTAAGGATGCCATATGCTGCGATGAAGACCAAAGATCACCTGTGCCACAACTAAGACCCAGCATAGCCCAGGAAATAGATATTAGAATTAAAAAACTACTGAGAGGATACCAGGGATACCTTTAAGAGGCTCTTGGTGAAACCCCATAAGCATAAGCCTCCCCATGGCAGAAGCAGATCACACTCTCACGTCCTCAGGGACAAGGCACTTGAGCTGCTCAGAAGACAGTTTGGGAAGATGTCAGTGCTTTTGATCGTCCCGACAGCCCTAGGCCATGGGAACGCTTATCACCACATTTAGCACATGCAGAAACCAAGGCTCAGAAAACTTGAGTTGGTTGCTCTGAACTGCACTGCCCAGGGGCACAGGGTCTGTTCACCAGCACACCAAGTGTGCACACATTTCACTTGCACGGCCTTCCGTGGCCAGCCCATTCAGAGCCAGTTCTCAGACCTGGGACCCGCTTCCTGTCACACCCTGGAGCTCAGGGAGGGTAGATCTTGCGTGCCCCCGAGGCCCACACCTGCGAGGCCTATGGAATGACTTTCCAAGGTGGACGGGCCCTGTCCCCTCCCCCAAGGCCAGGCCTCCGGCCTCCTTCCCTCTTCTCCAGGTCTCCTCCTGCTCACAGGAGACCTTATTGACCAGAGGTCAAACCAATCTCCTCACCCCCGGTCCCCGAGGGGTGCTGTCCTGCCCCGGAAGCCAGCCTCCCGTTAACGATTTTCCTCCTGGCCCACTGGGCAGAGGCGGCCGGGTGACCCAGGGTCAGCAGGGCTATCCGGGGGCTATTCCCAGGATGTGGGGACAATCCATCTTGGCCAGCTCCCACCATTTGAACCACACTCTGTGGCCAGGTCAGTCCCGAGGGAGATCACCGGGTGACCTCTGACATGAAGTCAGAGTCTGTCCATTTGCAAAGGCGGGGAGTGCCCTGGGCTTCCTGGGTGGGACCTCTGGGGGCTGCAGGTCTTTGCACGGGCCGGATCCTCCATGGCTGAGTCCCTTTGCTGTCCATCCGAAACTATCACAGCACTGTCAATCAGAAACACTCCAACACAAAACAAGAGCCCTGGATAAAGCCTTCGTGTGTACTCAGTTGTGTCAGACTCTTTCGCGACCCCATGGACTGTAGCCCGCTAGGCTCTTCTGTCCGTGGGATTCTCCAGGTAAGAATACTAGAGGGGGCTGCCATTTCCTCCTCCAGAGGATCTTCCCGACACAGGGATCAAACCCAAGTCTCTTGCATTGCAGGTGGATTCTTTACTGCCGCACCACCTGGGTCTACAATACAAAATAAAAAGTTTAAAAAAAAAGGCGCCCAGCCCCTCTGCCTGGCTGGCCCCTGCCCTCAGGTCCCCCCACTGG